GGAAGCAGAAGATGGCCAGTTCCACTGTGGGCCTGATGGAAGCCCCTCCGGGGGTCTGATCTGGCCCCTGGGCCACATGTTTGACACCCCCTGGGTTAACGCTTCATATTCGTCTCATGTGTCAATGACTCTTCAAATCAAATTGAGTTTTGAAACCAAATTCTGCACACAGCTTTTGCAATTTCTGAACTGAGCAAAATTTTCTTCCGTCTCCAACCCCCATCCCTATTCCTGACCCTGTCACTGAAGCGCCCCCCCCCCCCAGCCCTTTCATGTCCTTCCACCACAGCCTGTGGGCCTCTGGCATTGTGGCTGTGGAACATCGTGGCCGGGCTTGGAGCTGTGCAGAGTCGTGCAACCGGGGGGGGGGGGGGTCTGTGACTCTGGTCCTCTGTGACCCTGCTTGCGCCTCATGCTGCTCCCTGGCTTGCAGGGCTGTGCCGGAATGGCGGTGGAAGGGCTCCCCCGTGCTGCCAGAGGGCTCCGTGGTCCAGCACGGGCAGCTGATCCTGCCCCAGGCCGAGCTCTCCTCCGAAGGCATCTACAGCTGCCACGACGCCAGCGGACTCCTGCTCAACTCCGTCACTCTGCGCCTCGGCCGTAAGTCCTGGCTCCACTGCGGAACCCTGCCAGAGGGCTCCGTGGTCCAGCACGGGCAGCTGATCCTGCCCCAGGCCGAGCTCTCCTCCGAAGGCATCTACAGCTGCCACGACGCCAGCGGACTCCTGCTCAACTCCGTCACTCTGCGCCTCGGCCGTAAGTCCTGGCTCCACTGCGGAACCTCTCCACTCCTGGGAGCGTGTGCACGTGTGTGTGTGTGTGTGTGTGTGTATGCAAAAGAGAAAAAGGGTTTTATTTTATTTGCCATCGAATGGCAACTCCTTAGCATTCAGAGGTGGTTTGCCCTTGCCGGCCTCTGCGTAGCAACCCCGGACTTCCGTGGTGGTCTCCCATCCAAGTACTGACCAGGGCTGACCCTGCTTAGCTTCCAAAATCTGTGGAAACTCAAGCTGCAGTGTTAGAAGAGTCAAACAACAAATATATACTCTGCAAAAACCTTATTTATAAGTTGAGAAAGACAGGAGCGCTCCGTCTACGATTGTCAGCTGCTTAATGGGCCTTTTGTAGGACCAGCAACAAATATCAATTTAAACTTCAATGTAACCACAAAAGGAAACTTCCCCCTTTAGAAGACTTTCAAGCAAGGAGAAGCGGGTGTACAATTCTAGAAACTCCCGTTGGGGTTGATTGTGTAAGAAGGATGTAAATTGACTGGTAGCTGTTAGATTGTAAGGTAAAGGTAAAGGTTCCCTTGCTCGAAAGGCAGTCGAGTCTGACTCTAGGGTTGCGGTGCTCATCTCCGTTTCCAAGCCGAAGACGTTTCCGTGGTCATGTGGCCGGCATGACTAAACAGCAAGGCGCACGGAACGCTGTTACCTTCCCACCGAAGTGGTCCCTATTTATCTACTTGCAATTTCTTGCTTTCGAACTGCTAGGTTGGCAGGAGCTGGAACTAGAGACGGGAGCTCACTCCGTCATGCGGCACACTTGGATCTCGAACT